TCATAGTTTGACCACCCATGTCGTTTAAAAGAAAGAACAAAATAACTTTTACCAAGTTGTAATTTCCCATGTTGACGCTTGTGTTCGTTGCCTCTCATCCTAGCCTGGAGCCCCTCCAAGATGAGCCAGGTCTTGTCACCTTTGTACCTTCCCATTAGGTAGGGGTAGACAGCCGGAGAATGCCCCCCTTGTCCTCCTTCTCCAGGCTGAGCAAGCCCTGGTCTCTCAGCCTTTCCTCGTATGCCACCTGCTCCAGCTGACCAGCTATGGTATGATAGGAAGATGGGTATAATTTTTTATTCTGGTACCAGTCTTAGGGAAGATTATTTTTTTTTTTAATTCTCTTTAAAATTAACTAAAGAACTATATGAACGAAATCTCCAAAGTTAGAAGGAAAAATGAAGTCTTCAGTGAATGATTTGCTTTTAATGTTCAGATAAACAGTAGAAGTCAACAGGATTGGAATAAATAGTCTCTGATTATTTATTTTTGTTGTTCATTTTGATTTGTTTTGTTTTCCAGGGCTTCAGCAGTCAATGGTGAATTTCAGTTTTCTTTCTCTTCTTTTTGATAACTTTAATTGATCAAACTGTGCGTATAATAAAATTCTAATCCAAAGAAACTTTTTCCCCTGGTTTCACTGGAACATGGATGTGCATCAGTTTCTCTCCATTTCTGAACACTTCAGCTCAGTATTATCTTAAGACCTCATTACTCTTTCAAGTATAACAAGATCTGTATATGGCACACAGTACGAGACCAGATCGACCATCCTGTGTTCGTGTGTGTGTGTATTATTTCACTAGTTTTAAACAGAAGAAAACATCTTCTCTTTGTAATACAAGCTGTGTCACATCTCTCATAGGAGAAGTGGGAGGTCTCAAAAATAAGAACATAGCAGAAAAGAGGGGCCTGGGGATTGGTTTTGTTCATATTACAAAAGTATCCTGGGTAGAAAAATACCAGTGAAAATACGGTCTTAATCCACCTTGATAACTTTTTTTTTTTTGGTGACATCTAGTTTTTGTGTTGGTATTGCTAATGTAGGCTCTGTAAGGACAAAGCCAGTTCCAGGCATTACTTGGATGTTACAGTCTTCCCTTCTTTCCCCATACATGCACAGTTTGATTTGAAGCTGGGATAAATGAGATTCAGAGTTTTGATCACATATCGTAGTGGTTTTTGGTGGACCAGTCAAACTGACAGACCACCAGTGACTGAAATATCCACTGTGGATTTCAACATTTTTGAAGTTGTTTTTAAGTAAATGGCAGTTTAAAAATTAGTTCCAAGATTTTTATCAACCTCACAGCAGGCAAATTAATCCTCTGCACTAAAATTCAGCCTAGAAAGTATCAGAGAGAGCATATGGAAGCAAGATGTTCTAATAGAAATCTGCATTTAACCTTATGTATAAGCACTTGACATCAGCAAAATCTGTGCTCTATTAAAAAAATCCATTGTTTTCATCCAGCCTCCCTTCAATCCCCTTCTCTTTTTCTTCTTCTCTCTTTCTTCCTACAGTATAGTTTTATTGTTGGTAAAGCACACAGACAGAAACAGCGCCCGTTTTTCCCACCCATTGTCTGTGCATTTGTGCACTGGATATTTCTCCTGCCATTTCTACCTAGAGCAGCAGTGAAAGCCTAGCTCAGAGCATGCGATGGTACATGCTTTTTCAAGCTTAGCTACTGCTTGCCTGTTCAAATAGCCAGAAGCTTGGCGGAGCAGAGCTGGCTTTATTTGTTGAGTCTTGTCTAGCGAAGTGAAAAGGCCTGATTTTTTTTTTTTTTTTCCTGGCTGCATTTTTGCACATGTGGGGGTAGGGAATGAAATTATTTCTTTTGTCCTCTACTTGCAGCTCATTGAGAAGCAGGCATGCATATAAAATTACTGTATCTCAGGGCTTACCTTTAGGGACATGAGGGAGAGAAAACAGATTTGTAAGCTTGTCTGGAAACACTGAGGATGCTGAGAGCAGACACAAAAGTGGGAGGTGACAGAATAATTAAACATAATGAATATAGGACTAACAAAAACCTTTCAGATTATATTAATGACAGTTTGATTTTATTCCTAGTAAGAAATACCCCATTACTGGATATATCAAGGGAGGCAAAAAACTGTTGTGTAGGTGTGTCCAAGAAACAAGAGCATCAAAACACAGAAGTATAGCTTTGAAAAGTCACCACGAAAAATATATAACAAATATCTGCTGGGTTTTTTTCTAGATATTAAATTGTACCTGCAATTAATGAGAAGTTATCCTGAGGGGTGAAGTTCAGTGATGGGGGTGAAACACAATCCTGTTTCTCTCTAGGTTTAGTTTAAATCCAAGTGGATCAAGGAATACTAACCTGCATCTCAGCTTTCAGTGAGTTTTTGTGGGGTTTTTAACTACATATTTCACCTAACTGTTCTGCAGTCAGATGGCAAACCTACAGTCTCCTTCAGTTCTCCAGCTCGTCTGTGAACTTTGCTTTGGGTACCATTAACGGATTCGTATGATTTGTGGTAGTTTTAACTACCAGTGAGTACCAGCATTGCTGTGGCTTTTTTGTCATTTGAAGCGTAGGGTTTGGGCTGGCTGGCCAGTAACCTGAGCGGGGCTTCAGAGTAACTCTTGTATTCTGGTCTTCTGCATGTTTCAGGGTATTTTGGTTAGACAATGGAGTGAGATAGGAAAGGAGGTTTTCAAAATAAGCACCAGATGCTAAAAATCAGTCTGTTTGCAAAACTAGTATATATACTGAGCCCTAAACAGACGGGATTAATTAATGGAGTTTCTGGAATATATCATATTATTGGTATGTATCAATATGTTCCTGATTCCTAAACTAATGGTTTGTTGAAGTTGCAAATGTTAAATATTAGACATGAATATGATTCAGTCAGTTTACTGAATGAACTTGAAAACAAATATCAACAGTTCACTGAGATTAAAAGAAAGACTTGTTTGGGAACCCATAGATCCTAAAATACATTTCTTAGTGTGGTTATACTTCCATACTATGCGTGCAAACTCAGAGCTGTGAAATGAAGAATTCAGAGAAATTTATAAAATCTATTCTTTGACCTCCAATCTAGTAATCTATATTAAACTAACAGGAAAAAAAAATCTGGAAAACTTTTCATTTAAATTAGAAGAGATTTGAGGGGTCTACAGAGACATGGATGCCGTTATACAAATTTCCAGGGTATATTTGAACAAAGTTGTTGGTGGTTTTTTATATACATATAAAGCATATAGCTACTTTTCCTACAAAAATTACATAAGCAACAGAATTTGACTGTTCCTTTGAAACTTTCAACAAAAGCAAAGAATCTGAACTGTGACCTCTGAGATAAGTTTGAAGTCATTTAGCTTCACTGTAGTGTCTTTCATGCAGTTTTTCCCTCCAAACTCTGTACTTAGCTGACCTAATTTTAAAAAGGATTAAAAATGTTCATCCGCTCTGTAAACTGTTGTGAAGGGAAGAAAGAAGCTATGAAAGCTGAAATTTGTGAAAGACAGTGAAAGCAGAAAAACTCGTTCTCGTAATAGGATAATTTTCACTTGACTGGAAGGCATGGGTGCAAAAGCTGCCTGCTGGACATGGAGCCAATATGCACAGAAATTTATATTTTGGTTAACAGTGTATACTTCTACCAACTTCATGTTGAGTAGTATTTTACTCTCAGTCTCAGAGTAAAGACTAGCTGCCTTTAAGTAAGGATGGCAAAATCTGCCTTCCAATGTATTTGGTTTGAGTGTGAGAATGGCAAGATGTGGCCACCTCCAGTCCATAAAAATGTGCATACTGTATAAAACACATTATAGTTTACTGCCCTGATGATTAGTATACCGTTTCTCCATATTTTCACATTTTATCAATTCATGTATTGAATTTTTTTAAAAAATGCAATTTCCTTTAAGTCTTCATTTCTTGAGATGGACGAACAGGATAAACTCAAACAATTGAAACAGAGAAACGAAAGCTCATAGTTAGTTCTTTAAAAGTCATGCAATTTGTGTTTCCTGAATGCTTAGTTTAATGTTAAAAACAGTCATAACTATATATTCGTTAGTTCTTAAGTGCTTGAGTTCTGTGAAAAAACCAAGATAGGCTAAATTAGTGTTGGAGAGCAAAAAGTCATTTAGGAAAAGATAGGTGTTTCTTTCTTTCTGTATCCTGTTTTATGACGGTAGTGTTGAGTTTTCTTGTTGTTTTCATAACTCTTTGCATATTATTTTATTCTGACAACTCTGTATACTAAAACACATGAATATTTCTGTCTACCGTATTTATTAAAACTAATTTCACACTCCAACATATTTAAATGGTGGCCAAAAGTAAGTATTACACTGTTCATGAATACCTAATAATTTGCAATAATATCCTCAACTTCAAAAAGCATAATTTAGTAGTGCAAAGTATACTGTAAGAGGTGATGTTTGCAATGAATAGACATGTTAAATGGTTTCCAGAGATCTTTCACGCACAATGTATCTTACATTCCCTTTTGGTATTCAGAGTCTCTTCTGCTTTAAATTTCAGTAAAAGTGATCTTATTCACACAGAGAAAGATTTGATCTACTGAGTCACGTGCTTTGATTTGCGGCTTGGTAGTGTCAATCAACTGAGCTTTAGAAAAAAGTAAAAAAATCTGCCCAAAGTTTTGATGAAATACTTTTGGAGAAAAGTGGGCAAAATAAGTATTTTACATTCAGTTTTAAACTGCATATGCAGGAAGGCTTATTTCATAGTGAGCAAAAAAATGTATTGTTTTTCCTGTTTCAATATTTCAAAAATTTTATGCAGCTTTATACTGATTGTGATGACTGTACATCACTTCACAACAAAGTCTGTTTCTTGAATCTTTTCAGAAATACCAAGAATATTTGTTAATCAGAAGCAAAACTAATTAAAAATTATTCTCTTCCCTGTTGCATTGTGTATGCTTTTTTGTGAACTTAATTAAAATAAATTTATTTGTTTTATTCTTTTTCTTGCCTTCAGAACCAACATACATCACAATAGGTCCGCCTACCTGTGAGATTTTGGTGAACTGCACTTTGACTGAAAAAGATTGTATCTATAGTTTCAAACTGGACCAAAATGGTTGCCGCATTTGTCAGTGCAAAACTAGTGAGTATGCAAAAATACAGTGACTTCTACCTTTTCTATCAAGCTGTATGTGAAAATGCTAGTAGGCTGGTTTTTCCATTCATAACGTTGATTATATGTTGTGTTAGTATGCGTGTGCTTTATAGTGGTTCGTCTTTAAAGGATAGGTTCCTGATTTCTGACATTGCTTGCTTGTTTGCTTAAAATGTATTTGGAGGAAAACTTAAAATGTCTGACTTCAGGTGAAAATTAACAGCTAGGTAGAAAAGGTAATAATTTGGGACTTAATATTCTTTCAGACTTTTTGAAGTCTGATAAGACTTCCACATTTCATTTTCCTCTGTGCATGTAAAGATTTTAAGAGCATCTATGTTTGTGCACTTCAAAAACTCCTATTGCTAAACAGCCTATTTTCAGCTTAGCTTTTTCCCCTCAAAACTCAGGTTTTGCGGATAAATGTTTGAAAATTATATGCTGGGGGAGGAGGTGTTTCTAGATATACAAACATATCCATATATAATTTTAATTCTATAGCATATTCTTATATTTATATTATGTATAAATATTAATTAGGATTTATGCAGGCTTTAACATCTGTTTCTTCCCCAAGGACAATCATTGGGCCTTATGAGAACTTTGTGTGTATCAGTGAAGCAGCAAAAATGTATTTTCTGTATGTGTTTCCTTAAAAATTTGATGTTTGCAGATGAAATATAAAGCAAGGTCAGGTTGGTTGTTGGAATTGCCCAACAGACGACACCTGTGGAGTGCTAGTCTGAGCTGCAGGATGCATCACTCTGGCTGCCACCCCAGCCTAGGAGTGAGTTTAAACTCTCTTTGTAATTCTGTTGTGGTTCTGCAGCTTCCTTGTAGGCTCTGAGGCTTTCACCACTAAAGTATAACTCCATTCCTCTTCTTTTGATTTTGGTCCACCTGTTCTCAGCCACTTTCTAAACCAATGTGACTATTTTAGAGGTCTCCAGTAGAAATGGTCAAAATAAAACTCTTAATTGGTACAAACTGAAGAGTTTTAGGATTGGATTGGTGTATTAATTAAGGAGCAAGAAAAGAGTTTGTCCTACGTTTTTTAACTTTTTTTTTTTCCTGGGGAAATGTGCATTTTTTTTATTTCCATAAGGAAAAGGACAGGACATCTTAATAACAAATAAATATATGGCAAACAATAATGTCATTATGGTAATACAGAAACAATACCTTTGATTACAAGTTGAATTCATGGCAAGGATGACTTTCCATAGGTTGCATCCAAGCTATCGCGGACATGTCTTACTTAGTTCTTCCTAAGGACAAGAATTAGAAATGTTAAGTTCTGCTGTTAACATCGTAATTTGATTTTCCTTCTTTTTTTTATTGTTAAACTGATTGAGGAGATTGACACAAACAAGAAGATGGACATGTTCAGCAAGTGTCATCATCTATGCCTGTGCATGCAGTCCTTCCCTCCAGTTTGGTGCACAGGAGACCCATCACTCCAAAGGATCGTTTCTTTTGTCCTAGATTATCAGATTGCACACGTACACATACCGCGTCCCAGGAAGTTTCTGTTCTTGCCTGGGGTGTTTCTGATTAAATAGTGCTTAAGAATCTATTCAAGGGAATTTTTCTCTTGCCAGATTTGCTTGAAATTATTTTCATTTTGCAGTAGCAAACTGTCTGGAGCAAACTTAATAGTATCATTTGTCTGTCATCCTTTTTTCAGTTAAATGGCTTGAATTGTAGATTGCTTAAAGATCTCAGTCATTCAGAGAGGAGAAACCTTTATTTTCTAAAGAAATGAAGAAAAATAACGGCTTGGAAGTCTTCATCACTTGGTGGTTATCAGTCAAAATGTCAGAAATAGAATTATTTCTGTCAAGTAATGTTTCTCTCTTGGGAGGCTCTGGACAAATGAGTGTGTGAGCACTGAGAAGAAAGGAGTTTTAGGTCAAATACGCTGAAAACCTACTGCGCTCGTTCTCTGCGTCTTGAGATCCTACGTACTTTCATGTCCAAACCAGTTTAGTTGTATCTTGGCTCTCTAAGAACATGAGAATGTGTATGATCTTTAGCTCATGCAGACTCACATGGACTTTCGGGAACATCACTGTTTCTATACCGCACACACTTGTTTATTGCTGGTCTAAGCTGCTCGACTTAGATTTAAAGGAAAGGAGGCCCACATGCCCCTCATGACCATTTGAAGTCATCATATCCTAATTCTACTAATCTCTTTCCAATAAAGTTTTCTTTTTTTGCTAATTTCTCTTTAACAAATCCTCAGCAGAGATCTCTATGCTTAAATCTATTTCACCCCAAATAAAAGCAAAATGACAATGTAGAAGAACATGGAGTACAGCTAAATGGAAGAACATAGGGTAAAGCTGTAAATTGTTCCTCATTATTACCTTCATTTACATTCCTGTAGCCAGAAATCAGTACAACAGGTTTATTTGAAGTAATTATCTAAGAACGATATCATGAAACTTGTCTGGTGCTTTAGTGTAATTTAGTTTCAAGTTTATCCAGCTTGACTCAAGCCAACTACAGAATGAGAAGGAAGCAGCAAATTGTAACATTTCTAGAAGTCAATTTTAATAGGAGCAGTTCACTTCATCCTTTATCCTTCTTCCTGTTTTTGCAGTGAATGCAAAAGCACGCTGTAACAACATGCAGTGAAAACATACATGCTGTAAAGTAAAATTAAAAAAAAAAAAAAAAGCAGAGGCAGACCACAGTTGTAAGAGAAGGGAGGAAAAAACTACCACTAAGCGAAGAGCGATCACAGACGGATATGGGGGGAAAGTACCACTGAGTAGAAATGGAACCACAAATGATGAGGGAGAAGGAATGATCATACTCACCAGGAGCATATAGAAGCCAAAGGAGCACTACAGGAGGATAAAAGGAGAAAAGTATAATCCAAATCCAGGATATAGGAAGAATCACTACAAAATACCAAGAATAAAACTAAAACAGTAGGAAAATCATGAAAAGCATTACCAAACAACAACAAAAAAAAAGATTATATAAGATGATACAAGAACAAGAAACAAATATAAAAAAGCAAATAACCAAAAAAACGTTATTTGTAGGGTGCAGCAATTGCCATTGCGTTTGGAATGTCCAGGCCTTTGCTTTCATAGGGAGAACTGGAGGGGATTAAAGTCTTCAGGAGGAGGAGTACATTAGGGGAATGCACGACCAGCGATCAGCTCTTTGTGAGGCAGGGCTCCCGTTGCTCCGAAGAGGACGAACGGGCACATTGAATAATGCCTGCTGATTGCGGTAACATAGGATTTAAAATCTGAGAGTTGCTGCTGGACACTAAATCATTCTTCAGTGAGAGCCTGCAGCGAGGGCCAGTATTTTATCTGGTCTTGTCTATTCTCTCTATTATAGTAATGAAAAAGAAAGAGCCTTTACAATCTGTCCTGCAACCTAAACTATAGCGTTTTACCCTAAACGAATTGAACGTGAAGCACTGTTCAGGGTATAACTGCTATCGTGTATGGCTTTAGTATTTTTTTAACCTTTCAAATCTTATTAAAATTGAATTAAATTAAAGCATTGCTGTCAATTTTAAAAATTGTTTGCTTCATTTAGAAGGCTTACCTTTGCAGTTACAAGATGCAATTCTCATGCAATTTCATTAATACCAGACTGCTTATGGAGCGACACAATTGTAGAAGGCTGAGATGAATCGTTTTCCCTGCACATTGTAGTGCACCATCATCCACCTCCTGTTGTGGTCTCTTCTGTTTGTCAAAGCAAACCATGAAATCACTATTCAAAAACTAGAAATCTTATATATTATGTGTTTGCAGAGTTCTCTTGACATAAACCCACCCCTTTTCCCCAAACACATTCTATATAGCTACAGAAATATTTTTCTAAGAGTGTTGTTACCTTGTCCTAAAATGAGAAGAAAATGTATTCTGCCATGGAGTTAAAAAGGAGGTACTATCATTGACTCTGTACTAGCAGACATCCGCAGCATGGATTTCAATATTCTGGCGAGTTACAGCATCTCCCTTTATAGCTGATGAAGCAGAGTGGAATTCCAACATGGAAGTTGGGTTTGGCAGTGTGGGAGTTGGTTTAGTTGTGTCGATGTTCAAAGGCAGGATTGGAAGGTTTGAGAAAAAGTAGGTAGGTGCATCTATGGGCTGTCTATAAATAGTGATTAAGGTTTTGAAAAAGTGTACAGAGTGGTGATGGGAGAAAGCCTAAGAAAAACTTTGCAGGGACTGCAATGGGAGAGTACATCTCAGCTCCTCTTTTCTGCATGTTAATCGTTCAGTAGTTAGAGTTTGGGATGGGTTCTCCTAACCTTTCACTCTTCCTAGCCAGAATTTGAATATTTCATTCTTTTATTCCTGTAAATAATCCATACTCAGGGATGTGTTGTGAACACTTAAAAACTCCCTCAGTGTTAATCTTGTCTATTTAAATAAACGTATTTTATGTTTATTTTTATATCAAACTAAGGCAGGACAGATAATCACACAGACTAATGATACAAAGTGTACACTTCAGACAATGCAAAATTCCTGGAAATAGTAAAGTAAAATATAAATCGGTAACACTTTTCTATTTTAGTAACAATTAGCTCCCATTGTTACCTTGATTTAGCAACACATTCCATGGCAAAAAAAAAATATAAACACAAAGATAGTCCAGGTAGTCTCCCTTAGTGCAAAGAGAGTGCATCTTGGGTTTTTGAATAATTTTGTAGACCTGGCAGAAAAAGGATGTTTTATTATCCTTCTGCAGTGATGTGAAAGGGAATAGCTATTATATATTAGACCTCAGTTAGTGAAATACAGCCATGGAAAATTGGGGATGAAACATGTTTCTTAAAAATTTAAGGCTGAAACCAGAAAAAAGTACATATTCTAAGTAGAATAGAAATACTAACTCTAAGTACACATCTGGAAGATAGCTCCCTGAAGAGTGTGGAATTATGATGAACTAATAACTCATGCCAAATAAATATTATCTATCTTCTCACTAGAAGAAAA